AATTATTAAACTATAAAGCTTAATTCTTATGGGTAAGATTAATTGGAAATCAGCAATATGTTCTTCCTCAAGGTTGGATTCATGAATAGATAAAAGAATGTGCTTCTTTTTCTTTCAAAATACTTGTATCTAGTGTGTGCCAAGCATTGTCCTTACCTCAGAGGGACCATGGATAAATTCCGTCACAGGTGTCAAGGGACTTGATGCAGGGCTTAAAAGCACAAGAAGAGGGATGAATACCAGGTACAGCTGTGACCCAGAGAGGACAGGGGCATAGTAAGTCTGGTGCCATGCAAATCTTCACTGTGATGATGTCTGAGACTTTGAAAATACACAATGGATGCTGAGAGAAGAATTCTATCGTGAGAAAGGAACCAGAGTATTTCCAAGGTACAAAGCAACCTGGGGGCTTTGTGAAAAGCCCGGAGGCTCAAATGAAGGCCCTGGCTGTGAGTAATCATATCTGTGCTGTCAACAATTTCCTAGCTTATCCCTACCGAGGAGGCAACTTCAGGGCGCCTCCTAGTAGAAGATGAAAATATTATTATAAAGTCTATTTAAATAAACCTCCTATACAAAAAGTCACCCTTTTTGAATTTGTTGAAATAAGAGAGTCATAATATTTATTTCATGAAGAGGGTGTGAGGCTTAGGATTAATTTACTTCATTACTCCTTAGAGTACTTTGAAATTTATAGAATCCCATATGTGGGTTTGGAGGAACTTGATGGGGAATATTCTAGATGCTCCATTAGGTTTTGTATCATCTTCAAGTGCAGTTACCTGCACTCCATCTTTTCTGATCATCATTACAAGACACCTGGTACCCCAAGGGCCTCCCAAGTACAGGCCTCAGCCAGTCTACTCTAGGTGATACCTCTTTAATCATTCTAGAAACTTCCTCTCCTCTTAATAATTCATGACATTCTTACAGCACATACTGTTCATATGTTTATGTGTCCCCAAGGAGACTATAGACAACTAGAGATGATCAACTAGCTTTCCTTGTTCTTTGACTCTGGTATCTTACATGGCAATTAGCAGACAAGAGGAAATTAAATAAAGGTTCATTGAATGAGAGCAAGAACTCTGCTCTAGTTACAAGGCAAAACCTTATCTGTACCGTCAGAGGATGCTTTTTATCTGTGCTGTGCATGGACACCAGCACTTCCCCTTTCCAACTAACAATGAATTTAATACCATCTATCACTTAAAGGAGAGGTTCTCAACCTTAGCCACACATTGCAGCCATTTGGGTACAGTTTACAAATGACAAGACACTGATGCCTGTTCCAACCTCTCCCATATCTAGCAAAAAATTTGATTTAATGGTTCATGGTGGAGGTTGTTGGCCATGGTCTTTTTTAAATGCTCCTGTGCTGAGTCTGCTATCTAGCTGGGCTTGGGTTACCCAGACTTAATATGGTACTTAAGGAGGTCCCCACCTTCTTCTGGAGACTCAATGTGCTGTGATGATTTCACCTTCCTTTGTGTTCAGCAGTTACTGTTGTAACCATTCACTAGGTAATAAACCAAATGCTTTCTTGGGACAGTACATCAATATTGATTAGTTTAGCTCCTGAGTTACAGTTTGATCACACACACACACACACTCACACATACACACGCATACACACACACACACACACACACACACACACCTTCTATCCTAAATTGGAAGCATCTGGAGGGCAGGAACTATGTCTAGTTCTTCCTGGCATCCTAATGACATGCACATAGCAGACCAGAAATGCTGTGATGACTTAAAACAGGGCCAACAACAAATCTAGCGGAGGCCATTTTAATTCTCCTGTAAAGACATGTCTTTGGGAAGAATAAAAATATTGAAGAAAGGGAGGGGCAGAATTGAAGCAGAGTAGAAAAAAAAGAGTAAATAAAAGTCAAGTGGAAAAAAAAAAGCTAAATTAGTCCAAGAGAAAATATTTCCCGGCTCCTTAAGAGGATTTTTTTTTGTAAACACTGAAGCAGAATAAACAAGAGAATTAACTTGGCTTGTGCCTTGATAAGGAGATTTCTTTCTTAGTTATATAATTTTACAAAGTTTCCAAGGGTGTAAAGAAAATAATCAGACAGGGAGGATTCCTTCTCCAGGGCAATACCATTCAGCTCTTAGGTTAATCAGCTTGAAGAGCTGCTAAGTTTGACCTGACCCCCTTCCACCTCTGTGATCCCAGACTAAGCCTAACATTCAATAGCCCTGGTGGAGAGCCCAAAGTCATAGAAACGGATAAAACATAATCCTCTTTCCATAACCTTGATCCCTTGGTGGAGTGACCTCTACATGCAAACTAAAAAGAAAAAAAAAACCTAAGAAGCAAAACTCCCCCCAAAACAAAAACCCCTCAAAAAACAAAACAAAACAACAACAACAAATTATGCCTGGTATCTTCTCTGGCTGATATCTCAGAGGCATAGAGGTATGGATAACTTGGAATAACCTAAGCCTGATTCTTTACTAAGTGGTGTTATAAGAAAATAAAACTTGGTGCAATTACCTTTGAGTCAAGCCTTAAAGCCCAAGAGGCTTATCTTCATATGGTTTCTATACTTTTCTGTGAACTAAGATCACAGGAAAGACTCCCTGCTAACTATGAGGAAAGGTCATCTGATAGAGATGTTTTCTGTATCAAACATTATCCTAGTCACAAATTTAACAAGTGGGTCCTCCAAAACAGGCTTATTTCTACAGAGTAATTAAATATATGTTCTTTTGCCTGTATTGTCCCTTAAAACATTGATTGTTTATTATTGCTTAAAAACAGGGCTCAAAGGAATTTAAACCGAATCCTAATTGATTAGTTGGGATAGTAACAAGTTGTCCTTTGTAGATTAAGATAACACCACTGACCCATCTAATAGGATATGAGCTAATAGACTGTCACTGATCCATCCACACTTGGCTCTTGGTTCTTGTGAACAGTGCCCTGAATTTGACCTTTTCTGCCAAGAGCCACCAAAATCCTTTAGTCACCAAAGAGATATAAAACCATAGCATTTGTCCTATTAGCCACTTCCTGTTGACACTGAACACATGGAAATGATTAGACATGTTATTACAAGGTGGAGAAAAATGTGGTTATAACTTTGCTCATAAACTCCAGCTAGAAATTGGTAAAACTAGAATCAGGGTGTCTTGAATTGATGATATCATATGTAAGAGACCACATCACAAAATCAGTGCGTTACTATAAGAATGTCATCTGAAATATAAAACAGAGATAAACCATCAGTTTTGAAGATGTGAGGTTAAAGATCTATGCAAGTGAATGAGTCGATACTGATTCACAAGAAATTTTTCTCCCTCTAGCGGAGTTTTAGATAGGAGTGCCTAACACTCCTTAGTGATATTGCCGATAGCTGCGAAGTTTGTCACTATTTACCACCTAGGCTATGCCCCAAAGCCCACTAGGGTTTCCAGGAATGTTTTGAATGTATTCCACCAAGAGGGGAAGAAGTGGACTCCATACCTGAATCATCAGGGAAAAGCTATCACCAAAATAAGGAGCATGCCAGGGCCTGAAAACCCATGAACACTTCCTTCCCTGATGAACACAAGCTGCTTTATCTTCTCAGACAGGGCTCACCCAATCACCAAGATGGAATGTTATTTACACAGTCCCAAGAAAACCAAGAAGAATCTTCTGGTCCTTAACCAAAGTTATTCACAAAGTTATGTCTAGAATAGGCAATGGCTCTTGTCTGTTTTGATGCTTCCTGCCTCCTTGATAAAGAGCCAATTACCTAATGCAGGTAAAGGCAACAACACCCACAAACACCCGTCCTACCTCTTCCAGAAAGGACCACCTGCATGATAGTTTATGTTTCTTTTATTAATTACCTGGATTTGCTGCTTATTTAGTAAGACAGGCAAATCTGGCTTCTAAATTCAAAACATCAGACTATTTACCCTGACTCTTTCCTTCTCCTTCTTGTAGGGTGAGATCATGATTGAGCGATCACAGCAGTATGAAGTAGAGGGAGGATGTGAGGAAAAAGAAATTTCCCTGGTTGTGAGAGAGGTCAGAGGGTGAGGTCTCTTTTTCTAGAATGGGTAGAGAAGATTAAAAAGGGTGGAGAGCAGAATCCATTTTTATTTTTATTTATTTTATTTGATTTATTTGTTGGTGTGGGGCTTTAACTGTGGGCCTGGACACTATCCCTCAGCTCTTCAGCTCAAGGCTAGCACTCTACCACTTGAGCCACAGCACCACTTCCAGGTTTTTCTGCTTATGTGGTGCTGAGGAATCGAACCCAGGGCCTCATGCATGCAAGGCAAGCATTCTACCACTGAGCTACCTTCTCAGTCCCAGGATCCTTTTTTAAATGTGTGTGTGTGTATGTGCGTGTGTGTTTGTGAGTGTGTACATGTGTTTATGTGTGTGTGCATGTGTGTGTATGTGTGTGTGTGTGTGTGTGTCTGTATTTGTCTGTGTGTCTTCACTCAAGGCCAGAGTAGAAATCCCACTAGGATGTTCATCCTTACAGCGGTCTGTCTGGCATCATTCCTTATTTGAAATCTCTCTCTTACTCAGTAATATAATAGTTCTCAGAGTCTGGGGGATCACTTACTCACTTAGCAGGATCTGTGCAGCTTCAGGCTTTCAAAGCATAAACATGCCAAGAAAGAACATGACTATTACTTAACTTATGTATAAATTTTTATCTAGTCCTTAACAAATATTAGCTAAGTAAAATGATCATTTAGGGAGAATTTGAAATCCCCATCAGTGTGGGTCTCAGTCATTTTCAAATCTCAGTGAGGATGCTAACTCTCTGGGATCTATCCTTACACTGTCCCTCTGCCTGTGGCTAACCCTCCTACTTCATTATAACTTCTGTTGTGGCAAGCAGCGTTTCTTTATCCTCCCCTGGCCAATGCTAGCCCTGAGAAGATAGATGGTCAACACTTTCAGAAGAGGGTCTGACTTTTAAGTTCCTTTTGTGCCCTTCATAGTCTGAGAACACTGTCAGAGTACTCACCTGTTTTCTCTCTGAATCAAGGTGCTGGAGAATCAGCCGGGTGTTCACGCTATGACTCCAGGTGTTTCCCAGTGCAGCTACAACACAGCTGGATCCAGAAGTACCTGAAATGAGATAAGGCAAAGCCAGGTTTATGGATGTCCCTTGCTTGTGATGGCATTTGATAGAAACAGTGCCCAGTCATTGCTCATTGCTCAGAGAGTACTTAGAGACTTGGTTTACCGCCACAAAAGCTAATCAATTAGAGGAAGAAGAGAGGGGTTAGGGAATGTGAGACCAAAAAACAAAAACAAAAACAAAAAACAAAACAAACCAACACTATCCCCCCCCCCCACACAAAACCCAAGAAACCAGCACTGGCGTTCCTTCAGCCACAGTGGCAATCATCACCGCTGGGCTGAGAGTGACAGTTACATGTCACCAAGAGTTTGCATCAGAAAGCAGCACGGAGTTGTTGCTAATAATGAACCACGTGCCTCCCCATCCCTGCAAAAAAGTATACTGCCATTTTACAGGATAACAGCCAGAAATGAAAGTCAGAGCTTAACAGATTTGTTAGAACATTTTAGTTTCATTTCCCATATCAATATAGAATATTGTGGCACATACGTAATTCTTTTGCTCTCCTCTTTCTGTATACGCACAGAAAAAGAATCTGGAGGACCTCAACATTTTACATAGAGTCTAGCTCTGACAGTCCTATTCCAAGAGAAGAATTCCTTTACCCTAAGACTTTCCTGTAAAGGGAACAATTGGAAGTAAACTTCATCTGGGTTCCTAATCTACCCCACCTTATACTTCAGACATTCCCTTACATCTCAAAGCTTAATAGTCCCTCTTGGCAGCACCAGAAAAAGACCATTCCTGATCTCTATGCTTTTCTTCCCCTGAGGCAAGCCTTCCAATTCTGCCACTGAGAAGCCAGGTTCCACCACTATGCCTAGCACATTCTAAAGTCTCTTCCAAAGTTGGCACAGGTCATGCCAGAGATCCTGGCCTTAGAGGAGTCACAAAGGGTATTATTTTGTTACCTCATAACCCCAGATGTCATCTCTATTCAATGAGGGGACTAAAGGGACTGAAGCCCGCTGAAGTTTAAAAAAAAAAAAAGGACTTCAATTTCTCATTTGTTGCTCCTACTGTGTCACCTCAATATGAAGTAGGAATGAGTTTCTTTTCTAGGTGTATTTTAGGGTGGTCTGAGGACTGCATATAGTCTTAAGCTCCTAGGCCTACATGCTACAGTTGATAGGTGTCAATTCAGTGGTTCTTAGCTGGAGTCAGCAACATCCAACTGAGATTGCGACTGGCACCTAGAAGGTAGAGATTAGTGACACTGCTAAACAACTTATAATACACAGGATAGGTTCCAAGACAAAAAAAAAAAAAAAAAACTCAGCCCAAAACACAACAGCACTAGGTTGAGAACCCATGACTTCGATAATCCCAACCATACATATTTTTCCTGGTTTAAGCAGATTCGGCAACTATTTAGATGGAAATAAATAACAAGGGCCTTGGCAAGCTGGGGATCCCAGCTGAAAGGGAACTTTAGCATTGGAAAGAGCAGCATTGGGGGTAAACATGGTTTATCCTATATACAAATCACAGCAAGCACAAATCAATGTAAAGCCAAATAATCTAGGCTGTGTGGATCTGATTATCCCATTCACCTCAGTTGTTTTCCAGGCCTGAGGATAAAATCTTAAGTCTTCAACAATGATTTCTGGGCACTTCTCTTCCACCTCTGTGTTTCCCTCTGGTCGCATCTTTCTTATGATGACCTCTTGACTTCTCTGTCCTCATCCTCCTTGACCTCTTGTCAGCAGTTGATAAAGCTTCCCCTTCTTGGCATCTCCTCTCCTAGTCTGTTTCTCCTTTTACCACAGCAATTACCTCTTTCCCTTCTCTGCTTTCTTTCCTCCCTCTCTTAGCTGGGGAGTTGGGTATGACCATTTTTTCCCCTTTTCTGATATCAAAGGCCTTCAGTGGCCATGAAAATAATGTTCATATAAATGTACCCTGATTATGAAGGCAAGTATTTGTCCATTAGCACACAGAAATTTCTTATTACTACAAAAAGATATACTCTCTTCCATTTTTCTTGACATATAGAATGCTCTCAATTCACCTTTCACTTTCTACTTCTTGAGACACATTTACAGGGAAATACTCTCTGCTGTAGAAAACAAACACTGCAAGAGAAATAGCAACTCTATTTGCATTTTAAAAGACAGCCTTAGTGAGAGAATTCATACATCACCCAATTCATCTGTTTAGAGCATATAACTCAATGACTTTTTAGTATATTCACCATTATTCAACAATCACTGCCATCTAGTTGAGAGCATTTCATCAGCCCCCAAGAAAGACTACACCTCTTAGCCATCAGTCTGGTATCCCATGCCTCATCCCAAGTCTAAGGCAATCATGAATCTATGCCTCCATAGATTCAGCAACTTGCTTTTGATCTTGGAGTGTGAGGGAGGCGATGAGGAGTAGCAGGACTGTGGTGAATTCATTCAGGACCTCAAGGGAACAGCCTCTATTTAGATCTAGTTGCTGTTGTCATGTGGCAAAGTGAGTTCATAGTTAACCACATTTTTTAAAAAAAAGATAAGCCACGAATCAATATTTTTAAGAAACATTTCCTGGCGTGGCTTAATTTTTACCTTTGTAAGTTTTAAAAACAAACACATTAGTGAGCCAGAGAGACCTCTATCCCATCAAGTTAACAATGTCTGCTCCATGGGGTGTTTTCTCACTGTTGACAAGGATGTCACTTCCATGTAGGTGATTTCTGAGCTTTTATATCATTCTCTGAATGACACACCTGCCCTTCATTTTCAACCAGATTTTTAGCATTCTAACTTTGATATCTTCAAATCAAGCTCATAGCTTTCCCTGTAAATGTACGCCCCTCCCCCTTTTTTTCCTTTTTCCTTTTTGACTTTCAGTTAATCTAGTTTGAAACCTCAGTTCTGTTTTTAGAATTCTTTCATACTTCCAATTAAGTGTGAAATCCTAGCTGCGCACTGGTGGCTCATACCTGTAATCAGGAGGTTAATCAGGAGGCTGAGATCTGAGGATCTCAGTTCAAAGCCATCCTTAGTAGACAAATCTGAGAGATCTTCACTTCCAGTTAACCAGCAAAATCTGGAAGTATGGCTCAAGTGGCAGAGTGACTACTTGCAGCAAAAAAGCCAGGTGAGAACATGAAGCCCTGGTTCAAGCTTCGATACCAGCATGAGTACATGTTCATACACACACACACACACACACACACACACACACACACACACAGAGTATGAAAGCCTGTTTATTTACCTATTCTCTACCCTACAATCCCTTTCCAACCTTAGGTCCATATTAGTGTCTACCTATGGGCCACTATTTGAGCTATCTCCCTGGTGTCCATGCAGCTATCAGCTTCTCTTTACCACCACATCCTCTGTGTTACTACCTGATCATCTTCCTTCAATCACACATTTAAACTTATTAGCTATCTTACCATGTACAACCAGCGTGTTCAAAAACTTTCAATGGCTCTCAGGTACCTTAAAACAATTCTAAATTCCTGAGATGGACATTCAAGGACCTTACCACTTCTCTCACTCCAGTTCAGCTTTTACTCCAATTTAATCACTTCTTGTCCAAGTCTCCTATTCAGCTGGAGTGTACCATATGTCCATAAGTTCAAGGTTTACCCAAGCCTTCAATGACATTTTCCATGCGTCAACTTCTCTTATCACCACAAAAGTATGTGGTCCTCTTTTATACATTCATAAAACCTTATTTCATCCTATTATGTTCTATTATGGTATATTATTTATACACTTTTCTTATTATCCTTAATATATATGATAAAAGAGTCCAAACCATGTCCAATTTATGTCAGCGTGCCTGAATCATTTCACATAGTCTGACACCAAGGATGCTTATAAATACCGATTAAATGATGAAACCATAAATTACTTCCAACAAAGTTTGGATCACGTTATATACTTACTTCAGCAACAGATTTACATTCTTAACTCTATCTTGTTTAAGATAAAATTAATAGGCTTACATTTTTTAAAGCAAACTTCAGAAGCCAGTTGCTTACATGTCTGTCAAGTGGCAGGATGGAGTGAGGCTAATCTTTAAAGTTTGCCAAGAAAACACTACATGTGATAATTAGGAGTTACTAATTGTATAAGCACTCATTTTCTTTTTGTGTGGGGGGGATAAAACTGGAGTTTCCCAGGTATTAAGGAAGATTCAGAATGATTTCAGAGATCACATTCTTATTTGGACCATAACTTTTTAAAGAACTCTATCTCATCAAACCAGTGAGAACCATATAAAAAAAGTTCTCATGTACTTGGCTGTTATCTAACTTGGGTCCCAAGTAAGAGCCATAGTACAAATCGCCACAGAAAATCTTCCAGTAAAACCTCTGAGAGTAAGTTTGAAGAACTGTATTTTCAGGAGGTTATACCAATATCAAGCCAGTCAGTGTAAGAGTAACTACTCCAAGGCCTTAAAAGTTAATGATGATATAGGCAATGTTTGTAAAAGTACCATATGCCAGGTACCATGTAAGCCCTTTAAACAGACAGAGCTTACACACTGTTTGAGTTCCATGTCTTAGTCCCATCTTTTTTGATCCTCACAACAACCTGTGAGGTGGGTAATATAGTCAATTCTATTGACAGACTGAGGCTGTGAAAGATTAAGTCATTCCCTTAAGGTCACATGGCTGGTTAATGACAGAGCCAGGCTTTGAAACTAGCCTAAGTTTTAACCACTACTTCAATTAGCCTTTTCCTACCTCATGGATGTCTTCAGTCAAACATCTTTCCATTCTGCTAGCCCAGGGGGTGGGGGATGGGAAAGGTGAGAGGGTGAGGGTCAGGTCCTAGAAAGCTTTGGAATGCACAAAGACCCACCTCTGACAAGAAGGTCTGTTGTGAGCATCTTATCACCAATCTGAACTCTACGTGTCACTCAGCTCCACACCCAGCTTCCTCTGTTCTGATGTACGCTGATAACCCAGGGTAAGAGGTTTCCAGAAAGGCAGCACATGCCCTGGCTTGGCACAGTATTTAACCTCACTCAACTG